GCCCCAAGTGTGACACCTCAAATGGTTCACACAACACCAAATGCACATGGAATGACTTGAGAGAAATGGAACACTCCTTGAAATCGTCTAGCCCTCATATTCACACATTAGTGTACGATTTCTTGAGCCATGGGATTCTTTTATATGGTGGCTATTAGGGTTACACCATGTAACTCATAACTTTACCCATTCCTTATGCTCCATGGATTTTAACCTCCATGGAGTATCCATGGGTCACCCCATGGACTTAGTCCAACATAAGGAATCTTGGATCACAAGCCCACATATATAAGAATGAATGATTTACACAATCAACCCATATATTTAATTAGTCTCCTTTTGATAACTTAATTAATTCCAAATTAATTCTTGATCAATACTAATTAAATAACCTTATTAATATATTAGAACTTATAATATATTAACCAACCTTAAGTGTTATTTCTCTCATTATAGTCTATCCAAATGCATGATGCCATGCAACCCAAATGGACCATGCCGGGTCGGGTCAAGTCTTACCAATTATAGTTATGGACTTAGACATTAATCCAACACCACTAAGCTTCGGGCTTACAGTTGTTGATTATGTTTTTGGTACTTCTGATGATCGCGGGAAGGCGAAGGCGTGATCGTGCACCTCCTTATGTTTTTATGATTTAATTCTGGGAATACTGTGACATGATACTATTTTGAAAACAAATTGTAATAATTTAATGGTTTTAAATGTTTTAAAAAGTTTTAAATTGACATGATTTTTTAGGGTGTTACAGTCACCACATATTGAACATGTGGAGGCAGCTCCTTATGTTGTTAAATATTTGAAAGGGACTCCAGGTCAAGGTATTCTAGTGCGTGCCAATAGTCCTCTCGTCTTAACTGGTTGGTGTGACTCAGACTGGGTTGCATGTCCTATTACTCGTTGCTCCCTGTCTGGATGGATTGTGTATCATGGCCATTCTCTTGTGTCTTGGAAAACAAAGAAATAGCCCACTGTCTCTAAATCTTCCGCTGAAGCAGAATACTGCTCCATGGCAGCTATCTCGTGTGAGTTGAAATGGTTAAGAAGTCTCTTTGCTAGTTTGGGTATCCATCATCCAAAAAGCATTAATTTATTCTGCGATAGTGAACATGTTCTCTACATTACTCAAAATCTAGTTTTTCATCGACGAACGAAGCATATAGATGTTGATTGTCACTTTGTTCGTGATGCCATTGTTGATGGTCTCATTAAACCAGATTATGTTCATACATCCAACCAGCTAGCTGATATCCTCATCAAAGCTTTAGGAAAAGTAACCTTTTATTGTCTCGTTAGCAAGTTGGGCATTCTTGATCCTTATGCTCCAACTTGATGGGGGATGTTAAGAGCCGATAAGATTTAGTTAGCAATAACTTTATCTTTATTCAAAGTATTTGTGTTTATCTCTTTATCTATTTGTTTGATAGCCTTTAGCCTCTGATAAGGATTGTAACTATAAATACATTACCAATCAATGTGAATAAGATAAGCAATTCGTACCAATTGTTTCAATAACACACAAAAAGGATGATGTTTACATGTTATAACACATGCTACCTACACATAATGCATGTATATCCATTAGCCTAGGGCTAGAGGGAGTGGTACCATTTTTTTCACACATTTTTGTCTGTCACATCACTGTCACGTCATACTTGTTACACATCTTTAAAAGTTTGTCAATTAGGGAGGGTGGTTTGACACTTTTGCCACACCATTTTTAATTTAAAACTAAAATTAATATATATAAAAACTAATATATATATATATATATATATATATATATATATAAATTTATATGAAACTGAAATTTTCATTAAAATAAAAAAGACAAGTACACTTGAAATTAAATAAAACACAAAAAACTTGAAATTAAAATAAAATACAAGACAATTTCATTCAAAATATTGATGCCATTTGCTGGATCTCTTCACACTTTTCCAAAACTCAACAAACCAGAAAGGTTTGTTGCTTTCTATATGGAGTGTTTGAAAAACATTGGCTAACATCATTCCATCATTTTCACCATTTACTACATCACACCTCACCCTACGAAACACAATGTGAAACTATACTGCCACTGCGTTTGTTTATCTCCATTTGGAGAAGAGTTTACTTCAGTGGCGCCCTTTACCTACTCCGCGGTTGTAGCGTTGGTTGATTCTTCTCCAGAAAGAATACCTAGTGGTGAAATTGATGTGATTTGGATCTTCATTTATATCGACGCATACACGATCCCAAATGATATCTTCATCTGTGCTCTAAATACGAGCCATTTTGAGAAATGAAGATGGTTTGAAGGTGGTGGAATACAAAGAAGGTTGGGAGAGATTAATTAAGAAGCTTGAATGTGATGGAAAATAAAGACTGATGTTTATATTTATAGTAGTTGATGAATGGTTTAAAATTTGAAATTTTGAAAAACAAAACAGTTATATTTTGAAAATTGGGGTATTTTTTTTAAAAAATATGGTAGTTTTTTAAAGTGATAAAAAACTCAATTACTCTCTCTCTCTCTCTCTCTCTCTTGTTGGTGATTTTAGTGTCACCATGTCATTTTAAGTAACTGGAACTAACATGTGAGCTAAGGGGCTTCATGATTTGTACTCTAATATATGTACGGGGTTGTGCGGAGTGCACGCATGTATAAGATTGAATCAGAAGTCGGTTCGGTGACTAGTCGGGGGTCCGGGGTTTCCAAAGGGGCAGCGCCCCTTTGGCGGGGTCTAGGGGCAGCGCCCCTAGCGGGTTCCAAGGGGCAGAGCCCCCGCGGGGTCCAAGGGTCATTCTGAATTTTGCATGTGGGAACATAATGGAACATAATGGAAAACTCAATTTCTTGAGGGGTCCAAGGGGCAGAGCCCCCTAGCGGGGTCCAAGGGTCCCGCTGCCAGGTCAACGGGCGGGGTCGAGGGGCAGCGCCCCAAAACCTCACCGAATTTTTGCATGTGGGAACATAATGGAAAACTCAATTTCTTGAGGGTGATTATGGTAAACTAACAAAACTCGTTAGTTTTGGTATCCCTAATCCGGATTAATATTACTTGCTTCCAAAGCAACTAATGACGGCCCAACCCTAATGAAACCCTAATCGTGTTTAATATATAAACAACTCTTCCTTTCCAGAAGGGAGAGACGTTCTTTAGCTCTCGTTTTTCATCACACATTCACAGAACCCTTTAGCATATTGGCTTACGTTTTCTGTGCCTAGAAACGTAAGTGTCCAATTGGATTATCCTAGGCTGAATTTCTTGTAACCCAGGCATAATGTAGAAATATCAGTTCGGAAAGTGATATCACGATCCAAGTTGGTATCCAGATCTCCACCACAAACCCTAAACCTAACCAACATCTCTCTCTCTCTCTCTCACACACACACACACACACTCACACACACATCAGTAGCACACTGCCAAGTTCAGCCACCGTACCCGACATGCCGAGTTGGTGGCACCGTGTGTGCCGAATACGTGTGACGCGTGTCGAGCTCTTTCCGAGCCCACTATGTATAGCCTAAGATGTTATGACGAGTCCACATCCATTTTACATCCCATCCCAAGGCCACCCATTAATCCACTAGTAACAAGTCAATTAATATCCCTCTTTTAGACATTTGCCACAAATATAAAACTTGCTATAATAGATTCTTGCCACGCTTAACTAATAATTTTCTCGCATCATTTTTCTCATATACCAAAAGTGCATAATCATAGCCTCAAACTCAACATCATTTAGAGTTTGAAAATTACCATTGTAATAACATGATAGAGTTTTTTAACAACCAAAACATCTTTATAGTGTAAATCTCATGGTTATCAAACCACCATACCATACTGTGTGAAGAGCATGACATTCTGAAAAAAATTGAAGAGAACAAAAATTAATGGCCGTTGTGTAAGAGTAACATAAATAAACACTATGACTTAGAAACATTATTCGAAAATGACCTCTTAGGGTAACAAAAGTTTGTTTTTGTTCATGTTTAGTCACTTTTTTTGTATACCATTTATCATTTAACGTGTTTTAGGTGTTCACAAAATACCATTGCAACATGCTATTAAGGTTTCCGACAACTTTGTTATCTCCGATGACTCTCTTCTTCGGCGAGTCTCCGGCCAAACAAAGTAACAAACAAATTTTACTGGTCATACATGGAAGATTTCGAGTTCATCAATGACAAATTCTTAGAACACACACACCTTAAACACATGTAAAATCAAGTTCATCCATGGTTTTGGAACACACATCTGAAATCAAATTCTTATATGGCAGATTTCAAGTTCATCCATGGTAGATTTTTCAGATCTCGTTTCTTGAATCATTCATCTTCATTGAGTTTAAACCCTTGAAACACACATCTGGAATCAATTTTGTTTTTGAAGTTAGGGTTCGGTTCTGATAAACAATTTGAAAAACACATCTGATATCAATTTTGTTTCTAATGAAGAAACCCTGAACAATTTGAAACACACATCTGATATCAATTTTGTTTCTAATGAAGAAACCCTAACAAGAATCGAACTCATTTCTAGTTTAAATCCTTCATCTTCATCATTTTTAAAGCCTTCAAACAAACATTTGGGATTGATTTTGTTTTGCAGTATGCTTACGATACTGATGAACGATTTCTGAAACCCCTCATCTTCATTTGACTTTAAACCCACGAATCGGACCCAAATCAAACATTGAAGGTCGAACTTGTTGGTTTTTATGTGTGTGCTTCCCTGAAAATTCATACTTAGCCGAAGAAGGTGACTGAAAAATTCATGTTTGACCAGAAAACTAATGTTGGTTGGAGACTCGTTGGAGAAGATGACCAGAGAGTCGTCGGAGATGGCAAAGTCACCGGAAACCTTCATAGCAAGCTGCAATGGTATTTTATGAACATCTAAAACAAGTTAAATGATATACAAAAAACTGACTAAGCATGAACAAAAACAAAAGTCCATTACCCTAATAGGTCATTTTCCCAAACATTATCCACTAAGCAAAAGTTACATTATTGGTCTATAAGTATTAAAAACTACAAAAAAAAAATTAAAAATACGTCATCTTTATTTATTTTTATAAATTTACAACCATTGTAAATAATTATATTAAAAAAAACAAATGAAACTGTCTATAGATAGACTTACAACAAAAAATGAATCTTAAATAAAAAAATCCAACTGGTCCCTATCTGAAAATTTGCACCTCGTTAGAAGCCTCTAGAGGTCTGGACCCGACCCGGCAGTAGTTTTACAAAGAAAACTGATTATTGAGATAAATATAAAGTTAACTAAGTATCTTGATGTAATTGATAAAGTCGAGTATCAAGTGATAGCTGAGAAAACTTAGCAGCATCTCCATTTTGCTCCATACTCATCATAATCTTCAAACGTTGAACTTCAGCAGTTAACGCCTCATTTAAGGCTGCCAACATTCAGCAACAAAACTAAAATGTCAAATACCCAAAATACCCTTCTATATAGTATGTATTATGCGTCAAAGATGGGATTTTAGACATACCGTCCCGGAGGTGGGCTTGCTGTTCCATTGCTTGTAGACGGAACTTTAACTCGTTATTTTGACTTGTCAAACTCGCCGAATCTCTCTGGTAATAAAGTAAATAAAATCAATCAAAATTAACATTGATTTTTTTTTTTTTTTAATATAAAAAGGCATTTATTCCCACCTGAAATAATGTAAGCTGGGCAGACAACGTTGTTGTTTCTGTCTGTAAGGATTGAACCTTGTTTTCCAATTCTGTGATGTAACGCGTTTTTCTTTCTTTAGATCGAGCAGCTGACTGGCGGTTTGCTAAAATCCTAATGAAGAGGACAATGTTTTTTATACTTTTTTAGTTAAATGTTTGATTATCTGTTGAATATCTAAAATACTAATGAAAAAGATCTAATGAATCTTGAGATTCAATTTTTTAAGGTATCTAACACCAAATCCCATTTACCCAACACTATTTGTAGCACCAACATGGCAATTCGCATACTATACCATTTTGGTGTTGAAACTTTCATGTGTACAATTTGGTCCTTCAAGTTTGAATTTATACATTGCTAGTTAATTTAATAGTATAGTTATATTTTAGATATAATGATTGTTACTTGTAATATTATGTTATGTATTAAATTGATATTAATTAATTATATATTATTATTATTAACCTTTATGTTTTGAATTTATTATAGAAATTCACATAATTTTAACAATTTAAAACACAATAACATACTTAATAAAAACAAAAAAGTGACATTTATAAACTAGTATAATAATAGAAGTATAAAACACACAATTGGCATATATAATACAAATATACAATACAGAATCTAATCAAAACCGAATATTGACTTATATATATATAATATATATATATATATATATATATATATATATATATATATATTAATTTCAGCCTACAAAAAATGCGTTAATTGATCATGTATGGGATAACTAGTCCAAAGCATAAATATGTGATATTTCTTTAAATATGTGTAATATTTCTTCAAACGTACATGTAATATTTCTATAATGTATGTATAATGTTTATTTAAATGCGTGTTATACATGTACCTTTTTATTAGATAAAATGTATGTTTTAATAATATAATAATTAATTCAGATTAATTATATATGAATAATTTATTTAGTTCTAAGTTATAACTGTTCAATAATATAATTCACAAAGTTATTGTAACAAAAAGGATACAAGACAAATTTGTAGAAAATAATAAATATAAAGGGTATCTTTGAAAATCTATATAAGTTAGAAAAGGAAGATACTTGGTATAATTATCTTGGCTTAAAAATAGTGAAATAGGTTGGAGAAGAATCAATGTTTGCACCAAATAATCAGATGTTACACCATTAGTCCATTATGGTGCAAAAATTGATGTCACAGGTTGGATATTTTTTAATAACTGAAGAAAGTTACATACCTTTTGACTCTCTTTGGATCAGTCAAAGCTATCTCTGCAAGATTCTCATTAGTCATGATTTTCTTGAGCTCACTGCCACTAAACATACCATTTCCAAACTCTAACCTAAAAGTTTCTGAATTTGGATCGATAGAATCACTTGGTGATAATTTACCGATTTGCCCTCCAGAAGAAGGCAACAGCTTAACTGATTCATCTGCAAAGTTCATCTTTCCCATAATGCTATCCATGGAGACACTTCTATAGTGTCTTGTAGTTGGAGCAACTTCTCCACCTGCACTCCTTTTAACCCCTTCTTTTTTATCAGTAACTAAAGTGACTCCTAACCTCTGCATATTGTTACTGCTTGTAGCTTCATTATCACTGTTATCACCTCCATTAGTTTTTGTACCACTAGCTCTGCTATCCAAATCTTCACAGTTTTCACCTCTAAAGGAGTTTAGTCTTCCAAGATTATTCAAGTTCATGTAAGTTGAAAATAAATCATCTGCGACTTCACCTTCTGAATTCTTCTCTCCAACTTTGCTTTCACTACCGTTTCTCTCCCAATTTGATTCACGTTTGACTTCTAATCCCTTTAAACCTCTTGATGATGGGATTAATGGTGGTGATGATTGTAAGATAGTTGAAAACCCGAATGGAATATCACTGTTTGATCTCCTGTGTGTCTTACGAGGTGGAAGTGGAAGGCTCTCATGATCACCTACCATTTGATCAGATGTGAGTGCAGAAGTGGGGTCCCGATAAGGGCTCAAAGGGGGTAAAGAGTCAAGTGAGAAATACGAGGGCTGTGATAAAGTTCTTGAATGGGAAGAACCAGTAGCAAGAGTTAGATTCTGTGAGGAAGGTGAAAGGGGAGGCATTTGTGGATGAGACTGAGGTATTCCCACTCTTTTAATGGTGTTTTCAATGTTAATATTTGGGGGAAATTGTGTAATTTGGGCACGAATATCAGGATGATTGAAAGTAATATGTGATTGCAGTTTAGGGACTGATGATGACGAAGCACCAAATGACGATTGTAGCCTTTGGTTGCCTTCCTCAGATTCACTCATTTCTTTTCACTTCCCCCAAAATCTTCAATACTATCAATCAGTCGAGTTGAACAGATGACAAAATGCCTTATATAAATGTAAAAATGGGATGAACAAACCCTAAGAGCACTACTAACTACTGAGGATCGAGGCTACAACCAGTGACTGAATTAAAAACCTAACTTAGACAAATGAGTCGTTAATATCAACAACTCGCATACAATTTTTTTGAATGATAAAAGAAACAGAAAACACAAGTATAAATAGTTTACCGAATGACTAGAACAGGGACGAAATGACAGCCGATCAGCACAAGATAGCTAGGGTTTCTCCGCCAAATGGTGACGGAATGGACGAAGATGGATAGCCGGCAAGTCTCTCACTGTGTGTTTCTCTCCCTCTCTCTCTCTAAAAGTATTAACTTTCTCTCTCTAGATATCGAGGATGATGCACTACTGCACGGATTTCTTGGTCACTACTGAGATATCGAACACCATACATTGATCATTGTTTGAATATCAGCAGGTTAACGTTACATTTTCTATTTAAAGTAATATTTTTAGTTAAGGGTTAAGCTTTCTTGAGAAAGACATTATAAACATTGGTTTTAAATTATCAACAAACTAAAAAAAATATTATAAACAAATTTATAGATTATAAACTTTTTGTTATAAAGAAAAATAATGTAATAAGTTTCATGTTACATTTTAATTTTATAATTTTTTACTAAGTTCTAAATATTTTTTGTATAAGTTCGTTCCGAATTTAGTTTTTCTTTTTTATACAAATATACTTTTTACAACTTTTTAGACATTCTTTAGAACCTTTTAAGACCTTTTTTTTATACTTTTTATGAAAAAATTTATAATTTTTTTTAAAAAGGATTAAAACATTTTAAAGAACCTTTTCTAAAATATGGGTCAAAAAGTGGACAATATTCACAAACCAATTATAACAAAAATTAAAATCTGAATCAAAATTGTAAAATTGGAATGCGACCTACCTGGTATCATGGTATCACAAGTGAAAAAACTAAAACTTTATAGTTTATTGTATTTCTATAATATTTTCCAGTTTGTTAGCAACTTCAAGACAATTTCAATAATATCTTTCCCCAAAACAACGCAAACCCTTTTTGGTTATTTAAGTCATTGGTTTTTTTATTAAATCACATAAAATATGTTATATACATACTGATGAATTGAAAGTTTGAACCAGATTATTTTATGGTATAAATCTCAATATAAAATAACATAATAATGTATCTTAATTTAGTTTTATTTATTCGTTTGTAAATGATTTAGGTTATGTTTGGCTTAGTAGCTGAAAAGCTAGCTGTTAAATAAAAAACTAGCTGATAGTTGATAAAAAATGACGTTTGGTAAAACTAGCTGAAAAATATGAAATGACATTTAAAAGAATGTGTTTTATAATTAATTAAGGGGTATATTTGGAAAATTTTAAAATAGCTCCTAAAAAGCTAGTCTAAATAGCTTTTTAAAAAGCTAGCTTTTAAGCTACTTTTTGGTTTGTCAAACATGACAATTTAAAAAAGCTCGAAAAATAAGCTAGCTTCTAGCTGTGGCGCGCCAAACACAGCCTTAAACTGGTATATTATGTAGTTTCATTAAGCCTATTGCATGGGGAATCAAGCTCAACTCTTGGATTCGGTTGGTTTAGTCTCTTCCGCTAATTTTACTTGATTTAATCAATTTTGGGTTAATCGATTTTGTTTACCGGGCAACCTAATAGGTTTAGCGTTTATATGTTTCAAGCCATTTTTTTCATTCACAAACTAGGTAACTTAGGTAATTTTTTGTTAATCCTAAGTTTTTAGTGTAATAAAGATTATTCATTTTGGTCGCTATTTCAAATGAAATTTTATAAAGACTTAGTATTTTACATTTTGAACACATTTTAAATTTCATTAGCTTTATTTTGAACCAATTAAGGTTTGTAAGTTGCAAAACATCATGTTGAACTTGAGCCTAAAAAGATAAATAACACCAAAAAAGATAAATAAATCATGTTGAATTTGTGATTAAAAAATGGTTAAACGCATCATTTACACAACGTATAACGAACTTGCCCCATGTCCATCATGTAAACTAGTCCGGAACCGAACCGAATACCACTAACCGACAACAAATGGTTCCGATTCCAGTTCGGTTCTGGTTCTGATTCGGGTTTTCAATTAAAAATTGCATCCCTTTTTGTATGTCTATTATGATTAGGGGTGTTCATGGTCATAGATGGTTAACCGAACTGAAATTTCATTTCAGAAGGTTAACCGAAACAATCAGTATAATAATATTTTAAACCTAAATCACAATCGAAAAATCTGGTTAATCGACTTTCGATTACACGGTTTTTTCTGTTTGATTATATGTTAACCAGTTACCTATTTGCTAATTGCTACGACGCGACAAACTAGCGACTACGACGTGGTTACTGTTGTGGCCCAAGCCCAAGTTTCTAAGGTTTCTCCTATATTTAAAGACATTAAATCCAAGATTAGGTCATTCCCTTCGGCCTCCATCCTCCTATCTCGAAATCCTAGCCTCCCTTCTATCTTTTCCTTTTCCTCCTTGACTTATCTTGTTGAAGTGTGTCATTTTGGGTGTTCTGAAGGAAGGTCATCATCCCTTGGAGCTTGGGTGTGTATTTTAGAAGAGGTCAAACACCTTGTGCATCACTTGGACCTCTGTAAGTGTTCAAGTTCCCAACTTTGTGGCTTAAGCTTCTTAGACCTAGAATTTTATGGTTTTTTATGTTCCTTTCATGGTGGTGGTTGGAGTTCATAGGATAACTCCAAATAAAGCTTGCAACTTTATCTACCTTTGATGTCCCTGGAGTGTTTCATCTTGTAGATCTAGAACTTGAGGGTTGTTTGTTGTTATGCATGAGTTAAAGGTCATATTTTGCCATTTTAACCTAAAATGGTGAAGGACATGCATGGGGAATGCATGTCCATAATGTTAGGATTTTTTATGAACCATTTGGGTACAAAGAAGATTTATGGAAGATATGAGTTGTGGACTTAACGAATTTAAGCTCTTAATGAAGAAAGACATTTTTGGACTGAAACTATGTCGCGGCCAAGGAAGGCCCGCGGCATGGTGGCGCACTATAACACGTTTGTTTTGTCTGGACTTGGCGACGATGCAGCCAAGGATACGCCGCAGCGTGGTGGCCGTTGACCTGGTTGACCATTGACCATTGACTTTTGACCAATTTGAGCTTAAGTCAAACTTAAAGGATTTGGGTTGTTAATTGAGGTTTGACCTTTATTTTGTAATAGTCGATTCACAGGTTTGATCAGTGCAAGGAGTTGAGTGTGTGACTGTGTTTCTCCAATTTTGCAATTCATGTGAGTCTTCTCACCATACCACGTGTGACACTGTATATCCTTTGTGTGATAGGGTAAAGGTATTTTTAGAGTACGAGTATACTAGTTGACCAAAACAACTCCTTGTTATGTATGTGCATTATCAGATACTTAGTGTCATGTTAGGATAGACTGTCTTTTTGACTTATATATGAAAGACTGTGGTTGGATCACATCACTTGTATGAAAGACTGTGATTGGATCATAAAACCTATATGAAAGACTGTGGTTGTATCACATCTTTAGTATGAAAGATTGTAGTTGCACAACTGTGACCTCCCCATTTTAATGGCCAGAAAAGACTGATTCTGCTTATGCTTTGTTTAAAAATCAGAGTATCCTTTTGAATAAAAGTGTTGCGGAATTTGTTCCCAAAAAACATGATAAATACATTATCAAAGCATTTCCGAAGAAATGTATTTTTATTCATTTTAAAATATTGGGATGTCATCGTCAATACAAAAACATAAGCATAAACAGAACTTACATTCATTATCACTAGTGATTTATATCTCCTTAATCCCTCAGTGTAATGTAATCTCATATCGACACATGTGATACAAATAAGCTGAGTGGGTCAGGTTGGGAAACCTGCTGAGTACATAGGGTTTTCAACCCACAATAATATAATTATTATATTTAATCATCAAACAATTAACCCAATTACCCATCTCCGTTATCTTATTTACTCTTAAGGATTTATCCAAAGAATTAGCTATTCCTCGTTCATTCTTTCCTAAGGATTATCCTAAGGAATAGGCACGAAATCCATCGTTGCCAGGTTTACTCAACAGGCACTAAATCCATAGTTGCCAGGGTTTGCTCAACATGCATTAAATCCATAGCTGCCAGGGTTATCTCGTTTATCGACAGTATCGTTTCCGAGAATCCACTCTCAATACATGTCAATGGGTTTTTATCTCGTTTATCGACAATATTGTTTCCGAGAATCCACTCACAATACATGTCAATGGGTTTTTAGAGTACAACTGGTGAATACACAGTTCAAATAACACTTACAGGTTGCGAGCCTGCTAGTGTTCTACTGGACTGTCTAGAATAGTCTGTGGTTGTCATCCATACTCTGCTAGATGACGGGGCCAACACTTGGGTAAAAGGCTTCTCTCATGGTTTCTCTCACCTTATCTCATGGTCTATATAACCTCTCATCATTTTATTTTTTTGTCACACAACAACTATTTCATCTACCCATGTTTTACCCAACACATTTTGTAGATATAAAATACATATACAATTTAAATCATTTAAAACATGTATAAAAATCTTTCACCTAGCATAGACGGCAAGTGTACAGACAATATGCACACATAGCATGTAATTTATATTAATTACTTCATATCTATGTGTAAGATGAAAGTAACTATGCACTCACCTAATAAGGTGGTGACTCGGTACTCGGACAGAGCTTCGTTTACTTAAAACAGCTTCTTTCGACAAAACCTAGTATCATTACCACTAGAGTTTAGTCTAAGGTTCGACGAGACTAATTAATAGTCTAGCCATTATTACTATTATATAAGAGTTAAACAATACTCTTCGCCTACTATGTACAGACAAGGGCCAGACATAAAACACCAGAGGGCAGGACCATTTTGGCATATAACACTTCTGAAATCCAACAACCCTATGCGGCCCTTTAAACCAGATTTCCCGTACCGCGAGTAGTTAAAAAGATATTATAACGACACTTATATAACCCATAATAATAGCTCATATAATTATTATAAGGTCCTAATAACATTACTATATTGAAACATAAGTTATACTAAAGATAGGGTAGGTGTAGCTTACTTACAACGGGTTTTTCTCAAAACCGGGCTCCGCCGAAGCAGAGTTTCTGAGCCGAAGGCTCTTCTTTTCGGAGCCGTCGGGCGCTCCAGGACTTCCGCCTCGTGCTAGGGGGTTCCCTAGGCTTTTTTTTGGGGGGGGGGGGTAGGGCTTAGAGAGATGTTCTATAGAGAGAGAGGAAGAAGTTGGAAGGTATGAGGAATGAAGGGAACCTAACACCTCTATTTATAAGCTTCCTAGAGCGTCATCACGTCGTGGTGCCTCTCACCACGTCGTGGTGTTGCGTAGGCTCCAAGGTTTCGTCTGGTGCTGACACGTGGCATCGCACATAGGGTGGAAATCAACCGATTTTCAAAAATTCATAACTTTCGCATACAAGCTCCTTTTTCGACGTTCTTTATATCCACGCGTAGGTAAAAATAAGATCTACAACTTTCATTTTGCCTCTATCGGCTAACTCTCGACCGATCTTAAATTTAACAGTACGAGGAGATTATACTGTTAAATGTCCGCGTAAAATTCATAACTTCTACATACAGACTTCGTTTTCGTCTGTCTTTTTACCGTTGAGTTCCTATTAATGAGATCTTCAATTCTCATTTAGGTCGTGTAGGCCAAAAATCGCTCGATCTAAAATTTGAGTTTCGGGTCGTGCACTGCTAAGCTAAATCTTAGAAAAATCATAACTTCCTCATACGAAGTCAGATTTGGGCGTTCTTTTTATGGACGCTCTTGGTTTAACGTATACTACAACTTTTGTTTAGATTTCTAAGGCTAAAAAGTCCTTCATCATAAATTCACTATTTATGTTTCCTCGTGCAGTGTCGGTTTTGCCGAAAAATTTCGACAGGTCATAACTTCTTCGTTATAACTCGGATTTCGGCGTTCTTTATATGTACGGAACCCTTGTAACATATACTACCACTTGGAAAAGATTAATCCTTCTAAATAATCTTCCATCAAAAACTCATTTTTGATTCTTATTGTCTCTAAATTGACTAGTCCGGATCTACGGGCATTACAACAACATATGATGGTATTAGTTGATCGTTGAGTGGATACTCTAGGGTTTGTATGTAGTTTAAGTTAGGTAGCCTGAGAAATCTTGGCATAAAGCCTTATTGCATGGTTCTTGTTTGATTTATTGCTTTAGAGTGGGATCATCTGTTTGAATGTCTTTCTGACTCTCGACTTTATATGACTATGTATTCATGAGGCGGTTATCAGTATTAGCATTGGACCTGACATGGATATTGTTGCAACGAGATGCCGATTATTCCATGACAACCGAGAGCCAATAGCAGAATGCTAGTAGATGACACACATGATTGTTATGTATGTTGTATGCATTGTATGTATGGTGGAATATGTGGTATATCAGGGATCTCACTAAGCTTTATGCTTACAGTTGTGAACTAAACGCTTTGCAGATTGTTCATGAGAAGAGCTCCCAGATCGTGGGACTATAGACACACATCAAAGATATTGATTTCCATTGTTTTGTAATGGGCAAATGTCATATTAGCCCATCGAACTTATCGTGTTTTTTTTAAAAGGTCACTCAACTTTTTTTTGTACATTAAGGGAATGAACTCTCATTTTCCTGTTTTAAAACATCCTTATGTAACATGATACGGGGTAAGCCTGTAAAATGTATGACCTGACCACCCAGAATGATCCTTCAGCATCTCGTACACGTTCAATTGCAAATGGTTCCGATTGCCATCAGAATGGCCTCGATCTATCCTGGCTTCTTTTATTACAATAGTGGAGGACGTGTCTTGTAATTCACACTTGCAGTTAGCAAAACAAAAACCTAAAGGCTGAATACGACCACCAACCAAGAAACCAGATTCATCGATCGATATCTCGTTACCCATCTTCACGTTAAACATGTATTTCTCTTTGTTGTTCGTTTCATCATTAATTATCTGCCAATTTCTACTTTGTTTAATCGGACCAACTGTTGAGATGAGTAATCAACTGCTCTTGTATCTGATTGTTCCTTAAGTCCATGGTTAACCCTACAACGACTCTGAAGTTTTTAGGTTTGATTGTTTTTTATTAAATTTTAACTATCCGATTTGTAGGATGGCTCCACTTTGACTTCAAATCTAGTACTTAGTTATGCAAAATTGATATCGATTTAGAAATTATATTACTAACAGGTTGTAGATGTGTTATTTCCTAATTATTCGTTTTATTTTTCTGTAAATCTATTCAGGAGAAGGTAAGCCTAGGTGGGTTCATTACGCTAATAGTTCCTTAGTTCAAGAAGATTAAAAAGGAACTTCACCATCTTCATCTAAACCACCTTCAGAAGAAAAACCTGGTGATGGAGTCAAGTTATTTGATCTTGCAGGTGACACCAAATGGTGGTTACACCATCAACCTAAAGAAAATCCCACCTCTTTCTGGGAACCATCATGGGAAACCATGGAAATGGAAGAAAAATATGCAAAAATCAAGGATTTTGAAGCAGAGAAAAAGAGTCAGGATGAAATGAGCAAGGCTGAGCTTTTGGAAGCACTTTGCCATTCTCAAACACGAGCAAGGGAAGCTGAAAAAGTTGCACAAAAAGAAAACAATGAAAAAGAAGACATGATCAATCAGTTTATGAAGCAAGCTTCACAGCTATTTGCTTACAAGCAATGGTTTCGTATATTGCAACTGGAAGCTACTAGGAACAGTAAGTATCATCAGCAAAGGGTTTTGTGTTCTGGGTTTTTTTTATTTTGGATATGGTGTTCACGATTTTTGGAGTGGCATTGAAGAAGATATGTATTAAAAGGGTACTTGTAACATCCATAAAATTCAAGTCAATTTAAAACTTTTAAAACATTTCCAAAACCATTAACCATTACAAAACTTATTTTCAAAATGTATCATATCAGAGTATCCCAGAAACAAAGTCATAAAAAGTGAGGAGTTGTACGATCACGCCTTCGCCTTGCCATGATCCCCTGATGTACCTGAAACAATAAACTGAAACTGTAAGCCTGAAAGCTTAGTGAGTTACCCCAAAATACTCATACCACAACAATACCCATATAATCATAAACAACATACTATGGGTCCAGTCAACCATCGGGTTGGAATACCCCAAGCCCTCAACCATCCGGTTGGAATGCCAACACACTATGGGTCCAATCATCTTCGGGATGGAATACCCCAGGCCCACAACCAACAGGTTGGAATGCCCACATACTACGAGTCCAATCATCCTTGGGATGGAATACTCACTGTCCACAACCTACAGGTTGGAATGCCCATGTCTATTGGCCTCCGCACAAAGCAGATAAACCTCAACCGCTAAACGAACATGTGCACATATAACAGATAATCACATAACAGTCTATAGACAATACTTGATCTAACGGATCATACCACATAGCACATGACACCCTCCTATCTACCAGGATGCCGATCTAACAGATCATATAATATTATCCTACCCTCTAGGCTACCGGTCTAACAAGTCATACCACATACCATATAATATTATCCTACCCTCTAGGATACCGGTCTAACAGGTCATACCACATACCATATAATATTATCCTACCCTCTAGGATACCGGTCTAACAGATCATACTAGCATAACATAACCAAATAACAATCCAAAGGGTCGGCCTTGGTGCCTTAGACCCTTGAGTATAGTGAGGATAACTCACCTCACAAGTAGCTTGGAAGGTAGTGTCAAACTCCTCCAGATGTAGCTCCAACTCCAACACCTATATTCACCAATGTCCTTTGCTATCAATATTTAATTTACCAAAATACCCTCAGAAGTCAACTGTCACGGTCAACAATCCATGTTGACCTCAACTCGTCGAGTACCCTTATCTACTCGCCGAGTTCCTTGCATAACTTGCCAACTCGCCGAGTCACTCGTCTGACACGTCGAGCCTAAGGCAATCTTCATCGGACTCGTCGAGTCGTTCATACGACTCGCCGAGTCCCTTCAGTCCTTCATCCATACAGATGGTTTTAAGCCATGCTAAGGCTCCATACTGTAGATCCAATCTCCTAGGGCATGTTTATCACGTAAAGTTGCAAACTTTACGTGCATGCAAGGTGCTAATGACTTAAATCAAGCTAAAGAAGAGGTTCTAGGCAAAAGAGCTTCACCAACATGCTAAAGACTAAGACTTTATGATGATAAGAGCCAAGATGAGCCTAGATCTGAAGTTGCAACTTCAGATCTTGGTTCATCACTCGAAATGTAACACCAAATGCCCAAAATGGTCCCAAAACTCAAATATAAAAGGGATCTAGCTAGAAGAAGCTCAAGGTGATGACTTGATACCTTCAAATGATGATAAACTGAGGTAGACTTCAGATCCCCAACTGTTCCTTGCTCAAAGCTTCTTGATCTTCAAGCCTTTCCTCACCAAGATCCACCTTTCAAGCTTAAACACACAAGTATGGAGAGAAAATGGAGATTTAGGGTTTCTGGACTCACAGGGGCTGCAAGGGAAGGCTAAGGGGGGTAAAGGATCCTTTAAATAGGGTGCAAAACCCCGGGGATTAGGGTTTCACCCTCCAGCTCCAACTCGTAGAATCACTCTTCCGACTCGGCGAGTTTGTCACTTAAATACGTGGCCTAATCCCGCTCCTACTCGACGAGTCAGGGCATCCACTCGTCGAGTAGAACTTGAAACTTGAAATTTAAAGTCATACTATCAATACCTGAGAATCGGGGCGTTACAGTACTGGTTCCGATTGATTGAAAGATTTGGGTATAAGAAACCGAAATGAGGCTACAATGAGATTAAAACCTATACTAGTGGGTTAAGTGACTTTTTTTAACAGGTTAAACGAGAGTTCATTCCCTTAATGTCCAAAAAAAACGCTGGGTGGCCTTTTAAAACAAACAAGATAAGTTCAATGGGCTAATATGACATTTGCCCTTTTGTAATTTAACTTTGTTAACTTTATGATTTTCAAACAAATGATTGTCACTTATTGATTTGAAGAAAAACGTTTTAATTGATTAATCTATTTTAAATGAAAAATCTATTTTGTAATTTGGTGACGTTACACGAGCGCCGCATCCTCGGTAAATTTTTCTTCTCTAGAAATCAATGTCTCGTCGTCTCGCTAAAAACTTCATGGTATTAGTAATGCCCTTTGTGTATTTCTTTTCCAATTAATTTAATGTTATTATTAATATTTTTTATTTTAAAAAAGAAAAGGAAAAAGAAATATGGTCTCACCTGCCCAAGCCTTTTAAAACTCATAATTTGATTATCTCTTTCTCTCTCTAGCACTCTCTTTTCTTTAGATATCATCATCAGAATTCACTACCACTGTGAAATATCTTTGAACCAACACTGAATTTCACCACCGGAGCAAAGAAATAGAAAACCCACACACTGGAGAAGGTACTAGATACGTTCTTCACCCGATTTCTCTCCCTCGTGTCCGAAAAATCGCAGATATGTTCTTCACCCTTCCTCCAAACACCACTTAAGATCTAGGGTTTCGAAAGGATGGTGTGTGACAGGATCGATTCCCATTTGGAGCAATTCTTTCTTCATATGGGTGTTCCAATAATTCTTGATCTTGTAATAAGTTATAAATAGGATAGTAAAGACAGAGGGGATAACAAGATGGCGTAGTTGCAGTCGTCTTCCCCTTCAATCGTCGTCCCCTTCAAACCACTGATGTCATCCCCTACAAGTAACCATCGTCATCGCCTCCTATCTACTAACTTCACCTCCAAAATAATTCTAGGGTTTTGCGGGGAGGATTTTGTTCGTCATGACTGTTGTCTCCTACCCCACTAGATCGTCTCATACCCACCACCATTTTCGATTCCCAAAACCCATTTGAGTTTCAGGTTGTTTGATTTATTTTGATTTTTGAAACGATTTTCTGAGTTGACTTCATTTAGATTAGATTTCAGATGTTGGTGTCCTTTGTGGGTATGTTATCTTTGTCACTGGTGGGGTTAGATTTCAGTTATTATTTAGACGGAGGTGACTGGTGGTGTTGAAGCTCCGAAAGTAATTAATTGGTCTCGTCGGAGAAGGAATGTAGACTGGGGAAAGAAAAGAGAGACAGAGAATGAAAATATATTTTTTTCTTTTGTTTTTAATCTAAAAATATTACATGAATAAAAAAATTAAAAAGGAAAATGTTAATGTCAAAATAGTATTTTTTTAATGTCCGAATAGACTAAGCGTGCAAGAAAAAACAAACCCAAGAATGGTCCGAATTAAAATTTGAAAATAGAAACTAAATATGCGTTTTGGACAAAGATACGAGGAAAGATAGATGTATAGATGTAATTTACCCCAAAACTTAACATAAAAGATGAATAAGTTGTAACACCTCTTAAAATTAAGTAGGCAAGAATATAGAAATGTCAAACATAGCCCCTTAAATTCAATTACCTTTATATATGTACAGAAATTTAAATGATGGGTTAGTTTTGTCAAGTAGTAGAACTTCATAACTAGAGGAAACTGTATAAACTTGAAAAGGGGCTTCCCCAATCTGTGGAATGAATCAGTCGGCTACTACTGCATGAAACGGTGGAGAACGCCGTGTTTCTGGCGGAGTGTGGTTGCGGCACTGGCTACCGTCCTCTGTGGCCTCGATAAACAACAAGATTTTGTTGCATTAGCCATCCCTGATCCCTAAGCAGTCTAGATTTTAGTTTGAGTTATTAATCATCAAGATTATAGTTAATTAGCCGAAAACGATTTTTGATTTCGGGTTTCGGATTAGGGATTCGTTTAGTGGTAAAGAAGAAGAAGCAGCTTTTCATTCCTTTCTAAAATCGAATGAAGTTCTACCTTTCTGATCAACAATAATAATGTCAGAAATTCTGTTTCTCGGGTAATCTCTCTCGATCCTTTATACTTATCTTTCTTTCATCGTTTGATTTCGGAATTGAGGTCACAAATGTGTTCAAAAGCTGTGTTCGTTATTTTCTTTTTTCCTTACGTCATACACACGATTTGTTTTCAGAATAACACAAACTTTTACTCCGTTGTAAATAAACCAGAATTTTCGTAACATAAAATTCACGCTCCCTTGAATCTCGAGCTTGCACGCTTCGAATTACCCCTAGTTCACGTCTCCGTGTACACACGGGAATAGACAGCCTCGTGATTCGAATTGAAGTCTCAAACTTCACTGTGGTGCTTCTTTTTAAGTAGTATATATCAATTTCGGAAGTAATTTGTTCTTCTACGTCAATGCTAACAATCTGTTTTGCGTCTAAAGAATGGAAGAGCTGGGGCTAGGGCTTGTATCACTGCTACGAGCAGCATGGTTCATTGCTACTTTACCGATTCTTGTAGCCTGTTTGCCATTGCCAGGGATTGGTTGGTTTCGAAGAACTCTGTTAGGGTTTGCTAAAAGAGGAAAGATTTTGCAATCCAACTCTGTAAGTGGCACTATCTTTGTGATGCTTTCTTATCTTTATTATAATTATCTTCAAAATCGATTCACCTTTTTGTTTTTGTGTGCATTTCAGAAACTAACTGTGCCTCAGAGATTCTTCTCTCACTTCTATGTGGTGGCCATTTTCTGGACAACATTCTTGCTTATTGCAGTGTGGTTTTATGCAATCAAGATGCTTCCACCACTAATTGAGCAAGACCTCTTTTCTACCATAACCAGTCACTTGACTGGAGGTTCACATGCTTTCCCCTTGAATAAATCTTTGTCAACTAAAGAACATGTATACAATGTTTGGCTATCTGTGTTTCTCCTTCTGCTAATGGAAGCTCAAGTTTTGCGACGCTTCTATGAGACAATCTATGTTTTTAACTACAGTCCATCAGCTCGAATGCACATCTTTGGTTATCTTGCTGGCTTATTGTAAGTTTTTTATGTTTGCAACTATATATTTCCACTTCTCTTTGCTATGTTGTGTCCTTTTTATGTGTTCTTGATGAAACTTGTTGCTATTTCTTGCATTAGCCAATATTTTATGGCTACATTAAGTGTTGTCCGGATAAATGATGTTTAAAACACCCGTGTTAAGTTATTGAGTTATTGTTTGTTGATTGAAGTGATGATTGTTAAATCAGTTTCTATACAGCAGCTCCACTTTCTCTATGTTGCACTTTTGCACCTGAAGTGTTTGATTTTGTGAAGAATCTGGTGGCTGAGTTTATTGTGAGAGGAAAAGATCGCATGTCAAGGCCTGAATTTAACATATGGATGTTTGTGACTCCTTTCTTGACACTTCGGTGGTATTCATGGATTGGTGGAGCCATTTTCTTATGGGGTTGGGTACATCAACTTCGTTGCCATGAAATTCTTGTAAGTATACAGTTGTACTGTGTCTGACATGCATTGTTTTGATATCATATACTGATATATCATATACTGATACTGACACTGACACTGACACTCTTACACTAGACAAATCAAAATCACATTTCACAAAACCTTCAACTAACATTTAAAAAAAAAAATTAGGGTTCCTTGCGAGAGAAAACTGAAAAGCTTGAGGACTATGTCATTCCGTATGGTGATTGGTTTGAATACGTCTCGTCTCCACATTATTCAGCTGAAATTGTAAGTCTTTTATGATTATAGCTGTTTTTTGCAATTTTGGTCCTAGAAAGTTTTCTTTTTGCAATTTTGGTCCTTATTTGAGGTTCTTGTAACATTTTTTGCTCCATCTCCCAAGTAAAATGACTATTTTTGGTCCTTGGCTAGAGGCAGAGCTGATCTTTTTTATTTTTTTAAATTTTGGTCTTGAAAATAGTCTATTGTATTTGGAACAAGGACCAAAAATGTTACAAAACATAAGGACTAAAATTACAAAAGAAAACTTTTTGAGACGAAAAGGTAATGTACTCCGAATTTTCTTTGAAAATCTTAATCGGTGATTGATGTTGATGATGAAGGTGATCTATGGTGGTCTTGTGGTGGCTAGTGGTGGTGGGGATCTTTCTTTGTGGGTTACTTTTTGCATTTGTGGTATGTTTTTTTATGTTTTATTTTGATCTTGAATTCAACAGTAAATATAAAAGATTCACGGGATTTATTATTATTATTATTATTATTATTATTATTATTATTATTATTGTGCAGGTGGCGAATCTTGTTTTTGCAGCAACCGAAACACAAAGATGGTATCGACATAAATTTGATGATTACCCCTCGTAATCGATATATTATTTTCCCTTTTGTTTATTAGTGAAGGATGAGATGCTTGTGTAAACATTAACATTATTTTCGTAAATGAAAAAAAATGATGATTTGCTGATCATTTCCTTGGGTTGTACTTTACTTTACACATTTTTTATCATGTTATATCTGGATGGCTGCCAATTAAAGCTATCTGCTTCAATATGGAGTGGAGGCTTCTTTTTAAAATAATTTTGTTTGATTCTAATCTCGCTCAAAGAGGTGTCATATAACATATTATGATTATCCTCCTGTTTCTGTCTTCTATTTTGCATTCTGGTTAAAGAAGCAACTAATCATATACATTTACATTCCTTCTTTGCTTTTTTTTTTGGGGTGGATCAAGATGTGGCAAAAATTAAAGTAACATTAGTAAATACAATTAGAGTATTGTAAATTTCGCCTTTATCTTTTTAATAAAATCTTGAGTAACATTAGTATATAAAATTAAACTGCAAATAATAAACTCAAAAAGTCAAATATATATAGGATCGTGCATGAACAGGGTGTGATATCGATATGGAATCAATTATATATTAGGATCATAATAATTAAAGATATGTACGAATAGGGTGCAACAATAAAATCTCCCATGATACTCTCCTTCTTCTCTCTCCTTTATGTAGTATTTATAATATTGTGAAGGAATTGTCAATGATATACTTGAAAAAAGAAATTTGTTTCTGAGTCTAAAGAATGGAGGAAGAGGTGGGGATGAGGCTAGTATCATTGCTACGAGCAGCATGGATCCTTATCACTTTGCCGATTGTTGTAGGCTTTGTCCCATTCCCTGGGCTTGGTTGGCTTCGTACAATTCTAATGCTTGGCAACAGAGGCAAGATTTTGCAATCCAACTCTGTGAGTAATTAAGACTAGCCTTGTGATGGATCGATGATGTTGTTGACTTGTTGTTGTGTTTATATATGAAAAATCATCAATATTGTACCTTTTTGTTTTTGTGTACATTAATTTCAGAAACTAACTCTGCCTCAAAGATTCTTCTCTCACTTTTATGTGGTGGCCATTCTATGGACGACACTCTTGCTTGTTGCAATGTGGTCTTACGCAACAAGCAGCCACGTGACTGGAGGAGAATCCCATGCAAACAATGTTTGGCTATCTGTGTTTCTCCTTGTGCTAATGGAACTCCATCTTTTACGACGTTTGTATGAGACATTCTATGTTTTCAACTACAGTCCCTCAGCTCGAATGCACATTTTTACTTATCTTCTGGGCCTCTTGTAAGTTTTCCATATCTGCAAGCAACTATCTTATTCTCGTTTCTCAAGGTTCATTGCTGATATTCTGATCAAGCTAGTGATCTTTGTTGAATCAGTTTCTATGTAATGGCTCCACTGTCTCTATGCTGTAATTTTGCATCTCAAGTGTTTGATTTCGTGAAGGGAAAGGGTCACATGTCGAGGCCTGGATTTGATAATATATGGATGTTTGTGACTCCTTTCTTGAGGCTTCCATGGTATGCGTGGATAGGTGCTGCTATTTTCTTTTGGGGTTGGCTACATCAGCTTCGTTGTCATCAAATCCTTGTAAGTTTTTGCCATTTTGAAGAAAATTTCTATACTTTCTTGTTTCTTAATTTCTTCTTGTTGTTTTAACCTTGTGATAATTAGGGTTCGTTGCGAGACAAAACCAAAAAGCTGGAGGAGTATGTTATTCCGTATGGTGATTGGTTTGAATACGTCTCGTCCCCACACTACACGGCTGAAATTGTAAGTCTCTCATGATCTCATCAGTTTTTCAACATAAAAAGGAGCTTCAGAAAAACTTTATATATAACCGATTGATGTTGATGAAGGTCATCTATGGTGGTCTTGTGATGGCAAGTGGTGGTGTCGATCTCTCATTGTGGTTACTTTTTGCATTTGTGGTATGTTTTTATGCTCCCTTTGAATTTGCTTTGATCCCGGAATCCAACAACAAGTTCAAAGGTTTCACTGGATCTGTTATCTTGTAGGTGGCAAATCTGGTTTATACAGCAACGGAAACACAAGGATGGTACAGGCGTAAATTTGAGCATTACCCTTGTAATCGATATATAATATTCCCGTTTGTCTATTAGTGATTTGTGCATTGAAATAGGTTGGTGTAGTAAAGTTGTTCGATTGGACCATTTTTTTTATATATATATATATTATAATTTCATTCCACCAATATTTTAATTGTCATCGTACAATGCGTGAGATGACAAACGGGCAACAAGCTGTGCCGCTAAGCCTTTTTGAATGGTAAAACTAATCCTTTTAAAGACTACATCCGAAGATCTAGAGGTCAAAGTAAGGCCCATGAATCTTTTCTTGTAGAATATTATTAAATAAATTTTCTACCATTAAATTCAAAACTCAAAGTTGCTAATGAAAATCTCGTAAGTTCACTACCATAACATCATGTCTTCACTCATTAAATATTCAAGTTTCTAAGATCATAGATGTTCACTGAAATATCTTCTTTTTGTCATATGAGGCAGAGTCAGAATTTTAAAACAAGAGGGCTTACATAATTACATTATAATCAAAGACGCTAGAGTTCTAGCGAGTAAAACTAAAACTTCCAAGCAATCCCATTGAAATGCTCAATGTTTTATTTTCTGGATCGGTTCTCGGTAACAAGAACACTAAAAGTAAGGGTATTTTCAATGAAAATTATCTCTAGTAGTTCAAGGTGGCTATGTCATATAAAGTTGGTGCAATACATATATTAAGAGAGATTTTATTTATTTATTTATTATTATTATTTTTTTTTTGGGGGGGGGGGGGGGGGATGTGCCCCCTACTGTCTCTGTGATTGTTTGTCATCACCATTACCATTTAAGGTGGCTATGTCTTTATATACACTCTACACAAGACATATCTTCTAGCATTTGCAGTTCAACTTCTTATTCTCTAGATTCTTCAACAGCTTCATGAGCTTCATCTATATTTTTTAGCATGCTTAATTCGACTTCTTCTTCTTTATGTTCTTCCACAACTGATTCTTCATTACAGTGATACTACACAAAAAAGACAAACCAAGAATATTGTTTTTGACTTTTCTACTTCATTATTCGTTAACTTCATTATGAATTCATATATAAAGCATTCAAATAAAAATTAATATTTACCTGGAGAAAAAGCAGTCAAGTCAAACACGGTTAGGACTTCTTGAGAAAATTAAAAAGATAAGATATACTAACATATAGTCAAAGAGTAAGATAGAGGACTTAGAAGAGGACAAAGAGGAGACCAACAACTCAACGATATATCATGATTCAAGACAACAAAACGACAGTTTTCGGCAAGAGAGGTGAACAACACCGAGGATCTACTGCATCGTTATTAGGTTTGTTAGAGTTTGATCTTTTTGGTGACTTCTGTATAAAAAAAACGTTTTCTAGAACTTATATTAGAAACATATGTGTTTTTTTATATAGATAATTTCCTTAAATTGATGATAAATTATATAATTTATGATAAGATTTTGATATTTTGATTTTTGTTCAACTTTTACACAATTAAATTACTCCACGATTGTAACCAAGTGTTACATTGTTTGTATAGCTAACTGACATTGCTAATTTTTTTAATAATAACACATAAAAAACATTTTATGAAAATACAAACACCATAACTATGTATTTGTTTATAAATTCGGAGGCCTCATACGACCGTACCACTCACACACCCTAGGGCCGCCACTGGCCTCGATCGTGCCTTATCTATTTCCCAATTAGCATTTTCTTTCATTATTCTTCAGTTTATTATTTTTATTAATTTTTTGATGCTAGACCACCCAAGTTTGAAACATGGGGTATTAGAATCTGGATCTATCTTTAGTATGAATTATTTTATATCAAATAATCATCATTGGCCGATCTTGACGACGATTGTTCACATTATAATATTCAAGCATGTGATCCAAGCAATTTTAATATGGGACATGACTTAATTATTAAAAATTATTTATTATGGGGTAGCATTAAGTGAAGAAGACGTATGAATAAATGATGCCTTTTAATATTAGAAAAGTATCCGTCTATGGATTAGGGGTGTTTATAGGTTAAAATTGGTTGGTTCGGAGTGTAACCCTATGAAATTCATATTAATTCAGACCGGTATATTCTTAAAGTAGATTGTGAAATGCAAATTCATAGTTTAATTTTAGAAAAATACAAATATAAATGTCATTTCAGTTTTGAAATTTATTTTTTAAGCTAGCCCGTTAGGTTTAGTCCGGGCTAGACCGGAGCAACATGGTCTATCAACTTTGATTTTATTCTTTATTTTTCTTTTTTTGGTTTGAACCAATTTCACAAACCTTCTGAAATTTTCTAAAGATATAAATTAGAACATAATGAAGCAAATATTCTTGTGATCAAGAATCTTGGTTACAAATTACAATTTTGGGGGGTGTTTGGGATTATTTATTTGAAACTGTTTGTTTGTTTTTTTATTTCTTTTAGAGTGTTTGTTAGTTTACACAGTATCAAAACGGAGTTTAAAAAAAAAAACCGGTTAACTTATATAATATAAAAAAATGATAAGTTGATAAGCAGTTTTTTCGTGTTTAACAAATTTTGTTTATATATATAAAATAAAAAAGGGCATCCTTCCATATTATTTGTTTATTTACTTTTTACACGATAACACTTTTTTTTAATCATTTGTAATAATATTTTTGACAATTTTATATCAATAGAACTTATTTTTATAACTTCAATAGTTGTTTACTATAGATTTTTCATAAACTTAAGGTAAATTAAATTATCTATAATAAATATGTCTGCCGCACTTGAAATATTAGAGAAGGAATTCACCGTAACAAAAAAAGCTGGAACTAATCAATGTTTTATGTTGAATATCTTTGGTGACTGGTTTCAGTTCCACCGTCGTTTCATCCCGACTTTCATATTTTTCTGTATATTTTATATTTCCCTACATACATATATATACATAAAACAAATAATTTTCCTACATCTAGCAGTGGTGTGCATTGGCCTTCGAGTTTTTGGTTAATGTGATCAATCAAGTTGTTCAATTTGCTTTGGAAACGGGTTGTTTATCTAACGGACTAAGTGAAATTCAACTATCTAAGTCCAATAAACCGGTTCAAACGGTTTCTTACCAGCTCTATCACACCAGTTCAACCCAGTTTTTGAAGAAACCGTCCGGTTCAAACCGATGTAAAGATTGACATAAAACCGGTTGTTGTTGAATCACTCTTGTCCTTGATTCCCGGTCTGACCGATTTTTAAAAAACATTGGAATTAACTCAAGGCCTTATTACTTGAAAAAATGTTACAATGCTCACTAATTATGATGGTGATGGAAGAATAATATGTATTTTTGTTTCATGAGAAATCATGTCTTCACAATCTTCTCGAAGTAATAAAATATGATTTTATTTCTCTAAGTTGAATATTTTTTATTTCTTCTTCTTATTTTTTTTAAAAGAAATATGGATATTCATAAAAGAAATGAGAAAGATATATGTCTTGCAGACAGTGCAACAACACATAACATTTTTAATAATAAAAAATATTTTGTTTACTTATCAATTAGAGAAGCAAATGTTAATACAATAACGGGTAATGCAAAAATGATTGAAGGCTCCGGAAGAGCGAATACAGTATTACCATAAGGGACAATAATTACAACTGGTGATGCATTATTTTCTTCCAAAATCACCAAGAAATTTATTAAGGGGGTGTTTGGCTTAGCTTTTTAGAGGGCAAAAGTCTTTTTTGGAAAAGTTGCAAAAAGTCAGGTTTTCCTACTTTTCCAAAAAGTTGATTTTTCTTTCTATACAAAATCCAAAAGTAGCTTTTAAAAGTCTTTTGCCAAACATCTTTTACCTTTGATCTTTTCCTAAAAGGACTTTTGGTCTCTCAAAAGCTAAGCCAAACAACTCCTAAGTTTTAAGGATATTCGGTATAACGGATATCATGTTGAAACAACTAATGATGGTAATAAAGAGTATCTCAATATTACAAAAAATGATATCGGGTAAGAAAAATATTTTGAAAAAATTACCCTTATGCAAAAATTACCCGTATTGCCCTCCGGGTTGTATCATACAAATATTAAAATGATTGAATATCATGTTATTGAAAATAAAAGGTATGATAACACCTTCAAAGTTTGGCATGATCAGTTGGGTCATCTCAGATCAATTATGATGTGTAGAACAACTGAAACTTCAATTGGTCATTCCTTGAAAAACCAGAAGATTTTTCAAACTAATGATTTGTCTTGTGTTGCATGCTCTCAAGGAAAATTAATTTCTCATCCATCATTGAACAAAGTTGGGTATGAAAGTCCTAATTTCTTAGAAAGAATTCAAGGGGATATATGTGGACCAATTCATCCACCATGTGGACCATTTAGATATTTTATGGTTTTAATTGATGCGTCAACTAGATGGTCACACGTGTGCTTGTTGTCTAGTTGTAATCTGGCTTTTGCAAGATTACTTGCACAAATAATCCACCTAAGGGCACATTTTCCCGATTACCCAATTAAGAAAATTCGACTTGACAATGCTGGAGAATTTACATCACATGCTTTGAATGACTATTGCATGTCGATTGGGATAACTATTGAACATCTTTTTGCATATGTTCATACACAGAATGGTCTGGCTGAGTTGTTAATCGAACGCATTCAATTAATTGCAAAACCACTACTAATGCATTATAAACTTCCTACATCAACATGGGGACATGCAATTTTACATGCATCATCACTTATACGCATCACGCCAAGTAGTTATCATAAGTTCTCCCCTATTCAACTGGTTTGCGGTCAAGAACCAAATATTTCCCATTTAAGGACATTTGGATGTGCAATTTATGTACCCATTTCTCCACCACATTGCACAAAAATGGGTCCTTAAAGAAGAATGAGAATTTATGTTGGATATGAATCTTCATCTATAATAAAAGATTTAGAACCATCAACTAGAGATTTATTTATAGCAAGATTTGACGAGTGTCATTTTGATGAATTGGGTTTTCCAACATTAGGGGGAGAAATAAAGAAGCTGGAAAATAAAATCTCTTGGAATGAATTAACACTTTCAGTTTTAGATCTTCGTTCAAGTCAATGTGAACTTGAAGTGAATGACTATTAAATCCCCCT